TACCCCTGGTCCACTAAGCAGTCACATTGGATTTTCCTTATCTCTCCCTCAGTAATTTGCCACCCACAAAAGGTATTAACGAGCACAAAACAGTCAAAGGTGTATGAGAATAAGATAGAATTAAAACAAAATTTCCTTTGGAAACTTGAACATTTGCACCTGGAGGGAATCCAAAAGGGTGTTATTGAAGTTTTCCAGTGGAGTGCTCTCTTCATTAAGCCAGGGTGCCACTCTGGAAATTTTAATGTAAAAGCAAACTGTCAATAATCTTCTTGGCACTAAAGGTAGCGGTCTCTCTTTGAGGCCTCAAACAGCTCCTCTAGAACAGACTGAGAGCTAAACGAAGAGTAGGAACAAAATGTACCAAAACCCAAATTGATTCTGAGGACACCATCAGATTCTCAGTCGTTTTCCTTGTCCATGTGGCACTTTAAAGCTGAAGGTTAGGGGAAGGACTCCTGCTGAGCTCTGGCTGCATTAGTCATAGCAGCATGTCTTTGAGTGGCGACCACTCAAAGACAGCAAATTACGAATTTCTGCCTCTGCATGTAAACTGTCGCGGTACAACTAAGGAAACTAGATTGGAACTCATGTACCAAACACTTCTTCGAGCCAACAATCTTTTAACTTCTGCCAAGACTTTTTTTTTTAACTAAAATAAAGTTGCTCAGGCTCCAAAAATAACATCTGTTGCTCAGAGTAACATTTTCAAACAACATAATAAATTGCACTTCCAGAAAATACACACTCTATGCTTCCCTAAGGGAACTCACAAATGGGTGATGTGGGATACTCAGCTCCTTCGTTTCACGTATTGCCTGCCCTTGGGCAAGTTGTTTAGGTGGTATGGGTGGTGGTAAGAATTACCATGTGCAATTTGCCTTCATTTACAGCATGTAGGGACTGGAGTAGCTTTAAATAACAATTCTACCCAGAAGAAGCCTGGCAGGCGAGCAGGATGAAGTTTTAACCTACGGTCATGGTGCCCTGGAGTAGGTTCCAGGAAAAGCCAAAAAGGTTAAACAATCATATTAATAAATGTAACATTCTAAATATGGCACATTTTAAAATTCCCTGAAAGTTAGCCACTTTCTGAGATTGACTAACTCACTCTTACCTCTGAAACCTGCCAATCTTAGGATCTTATCCTCTCCAGTTCTCCCTGTCAATCTTTTAGAGATGGAAGATAGACTAAGCATGGAGATGCTTGGATCACAATTGGCTCCATGACTGTGAGCTGCCCTGACCATTTCCTAGGTATAGGTCACTAGTACAAGAGACTGGGAGAGGATATGCAGGTGGTGTGTAATTACTATCACTACTGGAGATAATTCAAATCACTTATTTCTATATGCCCAGGGTAAAGGACTTAACTCCATGAGAACCCTCATTTCTAATTTGAGAAAAAATTTCATAGATATTTTTATTCTTATTAACTTCTTAAAAGCATGAGATAGCTCTGCTGTCTGCCTTAGCAAGGATGTGGCTGCCAAGGGCAGCGTGGCAAGGAGGCCTAGACAGTAAGCCCAGGGTTTCTTCTAGATCAAAAGGTATTGAAAATACATAGCCACCCTCATGGGCTTGCAAGATTTTTTAGAAATAGAACATAATATCCATACAATTCATCCGATTTAATCTAATTCCTTAATCCTCTGAAGGTGTTATACAAAAAGGAGGGGTAAATGTGAATTTCAGTTTCAATTCTCCTTTTTAACTTTGGGACTCTGGACAAGTCACCAAGGCCCTCTGAGCTTCAGTCTCATGATAATTAATGATGATGATGATGATGATGGTGTTGGTTATGGTGATGATGGTAGTGGTGGTGATGGAGGTAGTGGTGATGTCACTATGGCTGCTTACCTTCCCTAATGCATACATTATTTGAAATTCACATTAGCATATATGAAATGACTTTATGATAAGATATGGTGCTTTGAAAGTATCTATTTTTGTTGTTGCTTTCATTGTTGTTATTATTGAGAATGTTGTTGTCAACCACTATACTCCCTGACAAACGGCTGGGCTAGATTGCTTTTAAGAAACTTACTGACCCTAAGATTCAGTTTTTCTATATGTTCATGTGCTTTCTCATGTTCTAAGATCAAAACGTCTATGAAAATATAACATCTTACATGTAAGGCAGGTCTTATTAAGGAGAAAATGCATCAGCAAGCCTTGGTACAGAGGGTACATTTACATACCAAGTATGTATAAAAATTACTGAGGGTTAATCTGTCTTAGCCTTCCCAACTAAGCCCCCTGGAGGCCTGAGCAAACCAGAATGTCCCAGATACTAGACTTGACCTGGGTGAATATGACTCTTTACTGGGTTACCCTGAGAGGTATCCAGGCTCTAGATTGGCCCTCCCTTTTTGGTCTGTAGTGAATTTAAAGGGGCTTTAGGATCTGCACTGGAAAAACTCCACCCCACCTCTAAGCCAATGCCTGCCACTTCTGGAGAAGTGGTTCTCAAAGTTCAGCATCAGCAGAATCACCTGGGGAGGGGCTTGTTAACACCGCGATCGCTGGACCCCAGCCCCAGAGTTTCTGATTTAGTCAGTCTAGGGTGGGGCATGAGAAACTGCATTTCTAAGATGCTGTTCTTAGGGTCACGTATTGAGAAGCAATGTTCAGGAGAAGCCATAGTATATTCTGGTATCTAAAATGACCTGTTAAATATGCTACAAAGACAGGCAGTTTTGTGAGCTGTTTCTGATGGAAGCTGGAATGGAGATACTTTAAAAAAGGTAGTAGTAGTGGGTGTTAACTTTAAAAATAGATAATGTAGTTATATAAATTACATCCAAATAAAGCGTTCTTTTTTTTTGCATAGACTTCCCTGTTTAACATTTCTAATAAAGACAAAAAATCATACCTTTTTAGCTTAGTCATTTTTCCCATCTCTGGCTATTAAAAGTGAACAGTTTAATTGGTTCTTTGCTCAAATTGAGGCAAAAGGCTTTCAGATTGGTGACACAGAGTTACAAATTGCCCTTTGGAAGTTGAATAATAACTGGGAACTGTGGTCCTCAGAGAAGGTAATGCCAACTGTACACCTCAGTTTTTCCTTTAATTATGCCTGCAAGTCTGGCTTATGATGGCCTCTCACCTAATTAACCAATTAAGCTCTTCGCCTTTATGTTGTGACACTCAGATGTCCAAGGCTCCACTTTAATAGTACATTCCATCATCATAAAAATGTGTACAATTCCCTACGTTCCAGAGAAGATTGCATTTCCTGAGATTTATGTGCTGTTTTCGAGTTCAATATTAATGATTTTGGATGTGGTACCCTGTAGCTTTAATCACCCACCACAAATAATCTGTAGCTTTAATCACCCACCACGAATAAGAGGTGAAGTATAAGCACCATTTAGCGTCTTCCATCGTGGCCTGCCTTAGCAGCAGGAGAGCAACACAACAGCGAGAGTTCTGCACAGAATCTAAAGACTCAATTTCCATTCAAGCCCAAAAGCTTACTGGTTCCAGGATCTTGAGGAAAACTTTTGACTCCCCAGAGGTTTCTCAGTTCTGAAATGGGGCCAATAATCTGTGCCTGGTCTATTTCAGAGGGTTGTTTTGATGATCAAAATAAAAATGAGATAACGCAAAGTGAGAGCACTTTGGAAATTCATAAGTCTTAAAAGAGTCAAGATCTCCTTCTTCCTGGTGTCGTGTTATGGGTACAGTGTATTCTCTGTGATGGATTGTTAGTTTGCCCTGGACTGTGTCTGCAGGCCTCATTCCTGCTCCCAGCGAGCAGTTTCCCAAATGTGTGCTGCTGGTTCCTACTTGAAGACTGATGAGAAACGATGACAGCTCCACATCAACTTGCCGTGATAATGCTAACATTTCTCTGCCACTATAAAGTCATTTTCAAGCATGTGATGTCTCTTAACCTTTATAACCCTGTGCAGTTAATATTATTTCCCTCAATTTGCAGATAAGGAAACAAAGATGCAGATTCTTATTGTCTTCTCAAGTATAAGTAAGGAGCAGAACCTTTTCTTCTGGAAAACCAGATTTAAACAAATAGGTAGATAGATAACTCAAGGGTATGTTCTGCTGATACACTAATGCTTGTTTGTTGTTGTTTTTCTGTTTTAATGACTCTGGGGATGAAAAGTTGTAAATCAAGGGGATTCCAAGGTAAGAAAATAAAACAAGCTCCCATTGGTTTGCCAGTGAAATGAATAAGCCCAAACTTAAACCTACAAGATTGAAGAGGTGAAGTTCAAATAGTAAGTTGTACAAGAGTTAACCTATAAAAACAGATCTGTAGTGCTCCTTCTAGCTATACAGGGGTGTCACGGTTAATTTTATGCATTAACTGGATCACAGGATGCCCATATATTTAGCTAAACATTATTTTGGGTATGTCTGTGAGGCCGTTTCCAGAGAGATTAGCATTTGAATTGATAGACTGAGTAAAGATTGCCCTAACCAATGCAGTTGGGTATCATCCAATCCTTTGAGGCCCGGATCAGAAGCAAAGCTGGAGGAAGGGAGAATTTGTCCCCTCTGCCTGACTGCTTGAGCTGCACATTGATCTCTTCCTCCCCTTGGCACTTCTGGTTCTCGGGTCTCAGACACAGGCTGGAATCTATACCATCTGTGGACCTTTCTTGGGCCTCCAGCTCACAGACAGCAGCTCTGCAAAATCAGATGAGCAGATCTATGGAACTGTACAGACTCTGTCATGTGAGCCAGTTCATCATAACAAATCTATTTATATGTATGTATATATGTTATTGGTTGTGTTTCCCTAGAGAACCCTAACTAAGACAACGGATTCCCTCTCAGCTGTGTATAGAAATTTATTTTTATGAGTTTCTAGCCAGGCATCCACGTGACACCAATTCTTGGCCAGAACTAAACTTTGACTCTTAATGATTAACCCATACTCCTTTGGGAGACCACAACATGGGGACACATTAACAGAAGCCAAACACCACATAAGCAACGAAATAAGAAAGGCACACATCCGCTAAAAATGTGTGTGTGTGTTTGTGTGTGTGTGTGTAAGATCAGGGATCCACAATGCATGAGTTTGGGAAGACCAGATGACGAGACCTAGCTTACAAGGTATTTTGTATTTCTAATTGTTATAAAACCCGCCAGATTCAAAGTACGTGAGAAACAAATATATAGAAATTGCACTCATAAATGAATTCAACTCCAATGTGAATAAAACTTAAGACTATTTTAAAATAAAAGTACAATTTTATTTAAATAAAATAAATGATTTGGATTATTTAAAAATAAATATTAGAAGATTGAACTCAAATGTAAACTATGGACTTGGATGATAATGGTGTGTCACTGTAGATTTGTAATTAATTGTAAGAAATTTACCACTCTGGTACAGGAGGTGGATCATAGGGTAGTCTGAGTGTGTGTAGGGGCAAGGAGTGGGAATACAGAGGAAATATGGGAACTCTGTACTTTCTGCTCGATTTAGCTCTGAACTTAAAACTGTCCTAAAAATAGATAGTTTTTGTTTTTCAAAAGAAATATATTTTTTAAGCACACTTTTTGGAGTTGTGGTCTTTAGGGTCACTGCTAGCAACTGCATTTTACAAACATGCAGAGGCCAGTGGCCAGTGGCTGGTGTAATATGCTGGTCTGGAGGATAGACTCTGTTTAATTCTTGGACCAGACTTTGATTCTGAATGAACATATTTTGCAGAACATGCAATGGGCAGCCAAGCTCCAGGAAGTCTGCAGAATTCTGCAGTATGAAGGCACACTGAGCAGAGATGGCATTTCCAGTTTTCACAGAAGATGCCACAGCTATTGCATATACTCTATCTCCTTCCAACTTAAGTTCCCAAAAGGTAAAACCACCCAAAACAACCACTTTAAAAAATCTAAAACACTTTCCTAAAAGCCAGAGGAAATAAAAATCACAGTTAATATAAAACCAACTGCTAATACTTCCTCTTCTACTACATGACTGTGTGCATACATAAAGCTCTGCAGACAACTCAAGGGAGCTTTAGAAAGTCCCAGGTATCTGCATAGGTTATTGTTCTCTTTAATTTACCAATAGGGAGAATTTAATCGTGCATTTATTGTGTTTATCACTGTAGTAACATGAATGACGATTTTCAGGTCTCTGCCTGGCCTATGAGAATCACAGCAATGCAATGCCACTGTGTTCCTTCAGGATGTGCCCACGTGCTGTGGGATGTGTGCATCCACCCATTTGGAGGCTGTAATCAAAGCTGGTGGTCAGAGCTGGTGTTGGACCTTCCTTCTGCACAAGCATGAGTTGATTAATAGCATTAATTTTTACTCCACCTTGTGGTCTTCTGATTTTTTCCCCATGTACTTTGAATTTACAGTACAATTAGTAGATTTTGAACAAATATTTTAACTGAATGACTAATTGAATAAATGATTTAATTAATACCAGGTGAGTTCAGGGACCAAATAGTTTGGATGATATGCAAGGTTTATGAAAGAACAGCAGATAAAGCTAGGCTGTGGATCGGGGATCGAGTGTAGGATATCATGAATGCTCAGCTAAGGAGGTCGGAGGAGAGGAGCCTCCAAAGGTTTCCCAGTGGGACAGGAGCACAATAAAATCATGGTTTAGTACCACTGTGATTACAAGCCAAGAGTCAAAGTAAATATCTGATAGACATACCTAAAAAATAATTTTCTCTTCTTATTTTTCATACTGTTAATGAATTATTTTTAAATTGGTTTTAAGTTCACCTGAAAAGGTCTTGAAATTTCAATAAAATTAAATTATTTCATTTCCCAGAGCTCATGAAAAAGAATATTTCATAAGCGATGTATTTCCAAGGAAAAGAACATTGACATACTCTGAGTACATTCTACCTAAAATGATGGAGGTTATTGGTTAAACACATTAATAACAGGAATCATACAAATAATTAATAAACTTATGTGCAGTTCTCCTACTTTTGTAAAATAAACATGTATAAGACCTAACATTTTTATTTATTCTTTAAATCTACATACAGCTTTTAAAAAATAACTTTACTAAAGAATATAATTAACTTATGATGAAATCCAACCATTTAAGTGTACAATTTAATGTTTTTAGTATATTTGCAGAGTTGTACAACCATCATCAGTGTCTGATTTTGGAATATTTTCATCACCAAAAAGAAACCCCATACTCATTAGCAGTCACTTCTCACTCCATGCCCATTCATCTCCAGCCCTAGGCAACTTAATCTTTCTGTGTCTCTAGATTTGCTCATGTTGGACATTTCATTAAAAAGGTATCATATAATATGTCGTCTTTTATGACTGGTTTCTTTCACTTAGTGTAACGTTTTCAAGATTCATCCAAGCTATAGCATATTTGAGTATGCTTTCTTTTTGTACTGAATAATATTCCATTATAAGGATATGCTAATTTTTTATCTATACATTCATTTATGAACATTCAGGTTGTTTTTATTTTGGGCTATTATGAATAATTCTTCTAGAAACTTCTATGCACAGATTTTATGTAGACATATTTTTTCTTTTTATTGGATATATATATATGGAAGCAGAATTGCTTGGTCATCTGGTAACTCCATGTTTTACATTTTTAGGAACTGCCAAACTGTTCTCCAAAATAGCTACACTATTTTAAATTCCTATCAATATTATTTGAGAGTCTCAATTTACCACATCCTTGCCAATGTTTGTTATTGTCCATTTTTTTTTTTTTTTTGGCAGAATCTCCCCTGTTGCCCAGGCTGGAGTGCAGTGGTGCGATCTCGGCTCACTGCAACCTCTGCCTCTTGGGTTCTTGCAATTCTCCTGCCTCAGCCTCCTGCGTAGCTGGGACTACAGGCACAAGCTGCCACGCCCTGCTAATTTTTTGTATTTTAGTAGAGACAGGGTTTCACCATGTTGCCCAGGCTGGTCTCAAACTCCCGAGCTCAGGCAATCTGCCCGCCTCGGCCTCCCAAAGTGCTGGGATTACAGGTGTGAGCTGCTGTGCCTGGCCACTATTGTCTATTTTTAAATATAGCCATTCTAGTGGGTGCAAGGGGTATCACATTGTGGATCACAATGTGGTTTTTATTTGCATTTCCCTAATGGCTAATCAATGTGAACATCTTTTTATGTACTTATTGTTCATTGTACATCTTCTGTGGATAAAGATCTATTCAAATCCCTTGTCCATTTTTAATTGGGTTTTTCATCTTTTTATTATGAGTATGAGTGTTCTTTAAAAATTCTAGCTACAAATCCATTCTCATATATTTGATTTAAATGTATTTTCTTCCATTCAATGAGTTTTCATTTTACTTCCTTTGATAGTGTCTTTTAATGCATAAAAAGTTTGTAATTTTCACAAAGTTCAATTTGTCAATTTTTTCTTTGGTCACTTATACTTTTTGTGTTATATCTATAAAAACAACTGCCTCACCCAAAGTCACAAACACTCTTAGGTTTTATTCTTAGAGTTTATCATTGTAGCTCTTATTTTTAGGTCTAGGATCCATTTTGAGTTAAATTTTATAGATGGTGTGAGGTACAGGTCCAAATTCATTCTTTTGCATTCAGTTATCCCTGAACCACTTGTTGGAAGTACTATTCTTACTCTATTAAATTATATTGGTACCTCTAACAAGGATCAATTCTTCATAATTATATGGGTTTATTTCTGGGCGGTCAATTCTATTCCGTTGAACTATACACCTGTCCTTGTGCCAATACCACACTATTTTGATTATTGTGGCTTTTATAATGAGTTTTGAAATCAGGAAATACAAGTGTCAAAGTTTGTTCCTCTTTTTCAAGATTGTTTACCTATTTTAGGTCTATTACATGTCCATATAAATTTTAAGATCAGCTTGCGAATTTTAGCAAAAATTCCAGATAAAATTTTTTTATATGGATTGCAATGAATCTGTAGCTCAGTTTGGGGAATACTGCCATCTTGTCATCTTAACAATATTAATTCCTCCAATTCATAAATGAATATGGGCTTTTCACTTATTTCAGTCCTTCAAAATTTCTTTCAGTAATATTTTATACTTTTCATTGTACAAATATGACACTCTTAAAATTTATACATTAGTATTTTATGCTATTCTTAATTTCATTTTTAATTTTTTGTTAGTATATAGAAATATAATAGAGTTTTATAAATTGATCTTGCAACTTGAAACCTTGATAAACTCATTTATTTATATTTTGTGTTGAATTTCTGAAGATTTTCTATATATATGATGATGTTGTCTGCAAACAGAAGTTGTTTTCCTTTTCGTTTCTCATATGGATATCTTCTATTTAAAAATACTTCTCTTCTGCCTTTTATATTTACCTATGCCATTACCTTTACTACTGCTCTTTATTTATTCACATGGAGTCAAACACTCCCTATTGTCCTTTCATGTCTGTATGAAGGATTCCTTTTAATACATTTTGTAAGGCAGTCTTGATAGAAACAAATTCTCTCAGTTTCTATTTGTCTGGTGGTTTTTAATTTTTTCTTCATTTCTTACATATAGTTTTGCTGGATGTGAAATTTTTCAATTACAGTATTTTTCTTTCAGCACTGATGTATGTAAGACACATCAGCCTTGGTAAAAAGGAATTTGAGGAGAAAAAAATAGATATGTCATCTCACTGCCTTCTGTGCTTCACAGTTTCTGATAAAAAGCTAGTTATTAATCTTAATGAAGATTCTTTACACATGATATATCATATTCCCCTTGTTGCTTTTAAGATTCTCTCTGTCTGTTGAAAATTTGACTGTAGTCATGTATAGACACGGATCTCCTTGAATTTATTCTACTTGGAATTTATTAAGCTTAGATATGTATATCAATATTTTTAAATCAAATTTGGGCAGTTTGGGGCCATAATTTTTTCAGGTGATCATTCTGCTTCTTTCTTTCCTCTATTCTCACATTCCAATTACACATATGCATTAGTATACTTGATGGTCCCACAGGTCTCTGAAGCTCTGTTTATTTTTCCTTTCTGTTTCTGACAATGGATATCTCAATTGATCTACATTAAAGTTTACCATTTTTTTTTCTTCTGTCAGCTAAAATCTGCTCTTGGGCTTCTCTGGTGCATTTTTCATTTCAGCTACAGTACTTTTCAATACCAGAATTTCTATTTTGTTCTTTATGATTTTATCCCTTCGTTGATATTATTTAGTGAGATATTGTTGCTATTCTTGCCTTGAATTATTTCAATATGCTTTCTATTAGTTCTTTGAACACATTTATAAAAGCTGACTTAAAATCTTTGCTAATAACTCTAAAATTTGGGATCCCTCAGGTACAGTTTCTATTGACTCCTATTTTCCTCTGTATGGATAATTCTTTCTCGCTTTTTTATATGTCTCATAATTTTTTGGTGAAAACTGGACATTTTAAAAATCATAATGTGGCAACTCTGGAAATCAGATCAACCTCTCCAGCCAAGTTGTGTGTGTGTGTGTGTGCACACGCACGCAAGCATGCATGTATGTGGTTGCTATCATTCTTCTGTATTTGTGGTTTGTTTTGTAAATTTTCTGAGCTAATCCTGTAAAGTCCATATTATTCATAGTGTGTAACCACAGCTCTTTTCAGTTACCTTAATCAGCTGATGCTTGGTCAAAGATTTCTTAAATACCTCCAAAAATTAAATCTTTCAACCTTTGTTCTCAGGTTGTGTGTGTGTGTGTGTGTGCGTATGTGTGTTTGTGCGTGTGTGTATGTGTGTGTGTGTGTGTGTGTGTGTGTGTTTGTATGTGTTGGGTCATGCTTTCCATGTTCAGGCAGCCAGTTTACAGCTCAGTCCTCTAAGGTCTTTCCTGGTCATACATACAAGCTTGCATGTAAGTGCAGCCATCTAGATCCTGAGGAATACCTTAGTGCTCTTGAAAAGCCCCAAGGACATCTCATTTCCCTTATCACCCTTGAAGTTTCTGTCCAGGCTCTGTTTGTCTCTGATGTTAAACAATTACCACTAATTGTTTTTGAAAAATTCGCTGGGGTTATGGCTTTTCCTTCAATATGTGCTGTGAACCAGATCAAATAACTACTGCTCCTTTTTAGTGGGCTTTTCCAGAGGCTGTCAGATAGGTCAAACAGTGACAGTGCTCTGCAGACGGAACATTCTGTGGAGTTACAAACCCCATCTGCCCCATCCAGTGGCCACATGGCTGCTGTTTTTCAAGGCTAGTATGATTGTGAGGCTGGTGATTTCCCAGGCCACTGCAGAGCTGGGGAAAGAGTGATAATAGCAGATCATGTTGAAGTACCACAAACTCGGTAATTCTTAATGAGGTTCAGCCATTTTTCCTGAATAAGCACTTTTAAGATTGTTACAAGACTTTGTTAATTTCTAGAAGTCTAAAAAGTTATGAGTGTTTTCATGGCTTAGTGTGCCAGTGTTTTCATGACTTTTATAGCAGGGCAAATTATAGAG